TTCGCAACTTCGTTGAATCTAAATTATTAGAATTTTAATTTTTTTAATAAAATTAATGAATATAAAATCTTAATAAATACCTTTCGAAAAAATAAACATTCATTTTGTTTCCGAGTATATAGTAAAGTAGTATAGTACGTTGACTCAAATTAGAACGGACGTATAGAAATTATGATAAGACGTACTGTACGTACGTTTGTAAAGAAAAACTTCGTCAAACCAAACTCACTTTTCCTACTACTGTACCTGTTTTTAACCTAATACGAAAAAATGATAATACTAGGATTTGTCCTAACTCTAACCATTACAGCTATTCTCATAAATTGACCGATGATCATTCGGTCGAATTCGATAAGTCTTTGAATTCTGTGTTATCGGAATTTCGATAATACTGAATTCGAAAACTTATCGAATTCGGCCGAAAAACTTTTTATCAGTTGTCCTAGAATTTATGAGAACAGCCGTAAAATAGGTATCAAAATAATTACCGAAGTCGTCATATCAATCGATATCATCCATGTAACTGATCTTGATGGTTATGCAAGGTTCGTGGTATACAAGGTTCGTGGTATACAAGGTTCATGAGAAAATTGTACTGTCGGGATTTGAACTGTTCAGGATTTTATACTTGTCGAATTTTGTACTTGTCAGGATTTAGTATTTTCAAGAATTTGTCCGTTCCGTTGGGATTATGTAACGTTGATATTACACGACTGGTCCTTCACCCGGTGTGCAACATATATAAAAAAATTATTTTTACAATACCAGGTCATTCCGCTAGTACACGTTATGATTATAATCCAACACCTAATAAAAATGGTGTTGGATTATAATCATAACATGTACTAGCAATGATCTGGTATTGTAAAATAATTTTTTTATATGTTGCACACCGGGTGAAGGATCAGTCGTGTAACATCAACGTTCCCTCCTGTTGGATTATGTACAGTACTATCGGGACTGCAAGCATCGGAATTTTGTTAATTTACAGGTTTTCCCTTTCCGTTACTCAATAGAAGACCAAGTGCACATTATCCTGGTACATTTAATCAGTTTTTTTGTTATCGTTTTAACGATAATTGTCGCAGCTGATGCTGAAATTTGGAGTCTCGATTTGAAAATCTAAACCCTGCTAAATTCACATATACACTTTAATTATCAATTCTAACCCTAAATCCTAACCTACCCCTAAAAAAAAAAAAAAAAACGGACAAAAACACCCCAAAAAAATTTTAAATTTTCGTATCAAAATAGGTCCGAATTTCAGCATCATCTGCGATAATAATTTAATATACAAGCCGGTCAAGCCATTTTGCATGTATAATCTGTCTGAAAAAGTGCTATCGCTATATCAGATATACCAATCACGAGAAAGTAATAGCGATAGCCACAATGGTCACAATGTCGATCAATTTACGTTTAAGGGTGATGACTAATTTGAGGGACAATGATTTGCATGGTCAGTATCGGTATTTAATGTTTGTACGTACGTACGTAATTAGGTCTTGCGATCCGTAAACAATTTCTGTTTTTTAAAAAAAGAAATATTCGTGGAGGGATATGTCATCAATCGTTTTAGCTAATGCTTTATTAAGAGATATTAGTAAACGTCATGAAAATGCAGATGATTATGATGTGAACCTTTATGTTGGTCAAGAACCAGAAATCGAAGTTTTTCAAGCGCATTCTTTTATCCTACGTGCTAGGTCTGCATATTTTCGTGCCGCGTTATCTACTAATTGGGTAAAAAAGGAAGATGATAAAATTTCTTTTCGAAAACCAAATATTTCACCCAAATTGTTTAGACCCATCTTAAAGTGAATTACAATTTCTTTTTCGTTTTTTTTTTTCGGAAACATTTTTATCAAATAAGTTTCTGACATATATATATATATTATATAGGTATATGTATACAAGTAGTATAGAGTTGAATATAAGTACAGTGGATCGGCGCGAGTATTTCGAACTTATAGCAGCGGCAGATGAATTAACACTTACTGAATTAGTTGACCATATACAAGAGCATATTATTTCAAATGAAAAAGGATGGTTACTCGAAAATTTTGTTCAAGTTTTTCAAAAAATTTCCACATATGAAGCGATGCGTAAACTTCAAGATTATTGTGCCGAATTAATTTGCAATGATCCATCAGGTAATTTATATTTTAATTAATTAATTACATTTAATAATTACATTTAATAATAATTACATTTAATAATTACATTTAATAATAATTACATTTAATAATTACATTTAATAATTACATTTAATAATAATTACATTTAATAATTACATTTAATAATTACATTTAATAATAATCACATTTAATAATTATATTTAATAATTAAAAATTAAATTATCAAATTTTAGTCGTTTTTACATCAGATTTTGGATCACTTGAAGAGCCAGCATTAATAGCTTTATTACAACGCGATGATCTTGTAATGGATGAGATTGATATTTGGGAATGGTAATGATATTTATTGTCACGGATGATTGCGAAATCGATGATGGTGAAATTTGAGTGTCTCAATTTGAAAATATAAGCCCTACCTACCAAACTTCAAAAATTGCCTTTATTCATAACGCTATCACCAAATCCTAACTTAACCATAAAAAAAAAAAAAAGCCGACAATAAGACCCAAAAAATTTTAGAAATCGTCATAAAATAGATTCGAATTTCACCATCACCCGATTTCATCACTATTATTATTATTATTATTTAAATCTATTTTGGTTTTTGATCATGCATTATTTTTTAGTGTTATCAAATGGGGGCTTGCCAAGAATAAAATGATTGATCCAGATGTAACAAAATGGGCACAACGAGACTTTGAAGCAATGGAAAGAACACTTCGTAATTGTATACAATATATTAGATTTTTTCAAATTCCAGCACATGAATATTTTTATAAAGTTCGACCGTATAAAAAAATACTACCACGAAACCTTAAGGAAGATCTTCAACTTTTTTATATTGTTCCAATGGGTCAACCTAAATTTACTCCCGTATTACCGCCTCGAATGGGTCTAAGGCCGGATTCAATTATAATAACATCGCAGCACGCAGCAATTATTGCAAATTGGATCTATAATAGACCTAGAGATACTTACAAACCTCATGAGATACCATATCATTTTAAATTGCTGATTCGTGGTAGTCGTGATGGCTTTACACAGGAGGAGTTTCATAAACGTTGTGATCATAAAGGAGCAAACATTGTGGTTGTTAAGGTAGAAGGAGCAAATATAGTTGTTGGTGGGTACAATCCCCTAGGATGGACATCAGCTAATGATTGGAGACAAACAACAGAAAGCTTTATATTTTCACTAGACAAGCAACGTAAGACAACAATAATAAGCCGAGTGAGAAATCCTAATTGTGCCATCCGGGATACTGTTTCAAAGCAATGGATTGGATTTGGAGTAGGTGATCTTCATTTTCTTGATGGAACGTGTAGCCCAAATGATTACGATGCAAAAATCTTGGATTCAACAAGATACGTTGTTGAAGATTTTGAAGTCTTTCAGATATTGAATAAAGTTAAGCCAGGTAATATCGTAAAAGATAGACCATCAAAGCCAGCGTCTATTTTTGGATTTATGTAATTATGGCATATTTGGAATTATACATATACGTATGTTTTGCATGATGGCAATATTAGATCTGTTGTATAGTTGCGAAAATGTTTTAGTAATATAATATCTTTCTTTTTTTTGAAAGTTCCTTATATATTTGCAAACTATCAACTTTAAATATTATCAAATGGATGAGTAGTCACTTTTTTCATAAGATGACGTTTAATTTCTTTTCTTTTTTTCAAAGAAGGGTAGTATAATAATCAAATATTGAAGGTTAACAATGAACAATTAATTACAATTTTAAAAATAGATACGATGGAGATGATAAAAAAAAAAAGAAAAGTCATTTCTAGTTTTATTTTTTGTTTTTTTTTTTTTCGAACATATACACATTAAACGAATAGATTTTTTAAATAGAATCATGTTGATGCATCATTTAGGATTTGTGATTATATCTCTTATATTACATTCATACATGTCATTTTTGCCTAAAGATTTTTGTAATAGATTTATCCTTTCATTTGATGTTAAGAGTGATGTTTACACAAACATTATTAAATAATATAATAATAATTGAGAAATTTTATTATGTCGTAAGTTTTTTGATTGAAAATTTATATTTACTTGCATTATACTGATTATAAAGCTTATATCTATTTAATTGTTTGGTTGAATAAATATTTGAAAACATAAAGATACCTTGAATTTGTAGACTTTCGTAGCACATTTCGATATTAAATTTAATTATAAAAGGGAGTGTCGGGGTGATTTGGTGCACTTCTGTTTTTTTTTTTAATATCTTGAGATACAATAATCAGAATCGAACGATTTTAATGCTATTCAATTCGTCTTATTAAGATTAATCGGATGGTGTTAAAATAACTTTATTTGAAATGCTTTGCCGAAAGATATGAGCAATAAAAATAAAAAGAATATGAAAATTTATTAATGTTTTCAATTTTGCTCCTTAAGAGTATTATTAATTCAGTTAGTATATTTTTGACACATATCCTTATCAAAAATGTATATTCTAATTCAAATACCACTAATTAATCTTTATTATTTGGATAAGTACATTATTGATATGGTTGATCATCCAACATTAGGTATTCAATCGACTAATTAATCAAAACAAAGATCTTTAATTTCGGATTTTCTAATGGAATTTGAAGGTTGTTTTTGTTTATACTTCCTCTATGTATGAAAAATGAAAAATAGAAATCAATTAATTCATTTTTTTATTAATAATATATATACAAAGAGCCAATTTAACTATTATTAAAAACTACTTTAATAAGCTTTATAAAATAATTAAAAAATATTTATTTATTGCTAACTAAAGTTAACATTAATCATGACAGATACTCTTATCATAGAGTTATATGTAATATTTGGATTTAGTTACTTTTTTGATGTAGTTAATATTGTATTTATATATAGATATCAAGAGTACAATTTATGCAATATGCTGTAGTATGTAAATTCATTAATATGCGTAGTGTGCCATAATACCTCCGGCTAAGAAAAAACATCAGTTTTCCGATAGTTTTTAGAAGTTTGAAAAGTATTTTTTTGTAGTACAAGTTTTTTTTTATTTTACTGATAGGTAGTAAATTGTGTCTTAATTATTTCAATAAATCTCCTTCCTAATATTTTAATTTTTTGGTGCCCAGATGCGACCTGCCGCACTAACCCTGTAAGAATACGAGTTAGAGAGCTAGCCCTACTTCCTTTTTAACTAATCTATTTAGTGCTAAATTAAAATCAAAATAAATTTTACCAGTAATTTATATTATTATTATACATAATTTATTAATTTATTTATTTTATATAATTTTTTCTCTACAATTTTGATTATTATAAATTTATATAATTTTAAAATTCAGCGCTACTATATATATATTTAAAACTTCAGCGCTTTGATGTATTTAGATGTTCTGCACCATTTATAGTACGAATCAACAGTATGGGTCAATTACAACATACAAAATTGAATTGAATTACGTATTTGCATATTAGCACATAACCATATAAATGACACTGACTTCATCATTCCATTAACGGTATAAAATATTCTAATGTTTTTTTCTGGCAAAGTTCGTGCCAAATAAATGAATAAGATAAAAAAAAATTTAATATCAATTATGAATGGTCAAAATCAGCAAAATCAATTAAAGAATACATTAAACGATGAAAAAATATCGGTCAGAATCAATGACATTAAAAAAGCTTCATGTATTATAATTCAAGTTGTTAGCAATGTAAGAACACGCTTATGCTTGAATATGTATATCTTAAATATAACGTTCTGATATAAATAATTGCACACACACACACACACAATTACTTATAACCAAATCTCGGATTACTTAATCATAGAATCACGCGATAACCCCATTTTTGTGCAAGAGAAACAAGCCTCTACAAAAACTTATGAATGCTTACTGCGAGAAAGAAGGTAAGGAGTTTAGTGATTTAAGATTTCTTTACAATGGAGAACGATTGCAGCCAAAAATCACTCCCGAAGCTGTAAGTTTTATCTAGATTTTCACGTAAATTTTGTTCGTACACAAAGTAGTTAATTTAAATAAATTTATTTTATAGTTAGAGATGGAGGATGGAGACTGTATTGATGTAATGATTGAACAGTATGGTGGATACGAAAATATTTGTTTTGCGTCCGAATAATATCGTAAAGTTTTGGTTATATGTGTGGATTTTTGTTCGCAAATCTCATCAAGCTTGGATTGATATCCTATTTAGACTAGAAAATAGTGCTGATATTAATCAAAGTAAAGTAACTGTGTATCAATCTTGAAAAATATATTTCAATATACCAATAGTTTAAGAATCGGCTTCATTTAAATCGTTTTCAATGAAAATAAACCAGATTTAAATATAAAATATATTCTCTAAATGTTAAGCTTGTTTTTTTTTTTTAATTGCTAACCATTCTATATATAATGATTTAGCAGTATTAAATACCGGTTAATGACCTGCTAATGACCTGCTAAATAGTAATTTCATTTTGCCACATTTAAAATTTTGACTTTTTTTAATTGTTTACAAATAATCGTGTTACCTGTCGATTTGTCGATCATCAACCATTTTAGGATCACTAGCAATGATGTTACGATACACCGGATGCAGTAATTTAAAAATGCGTATTAGCACATATATCACACTTAACTCGCTTAATTCCGCACACCCAAGTATGCTTGAACGATGATGTGTTATGAAAGTATAACTATTCAACTATTAACTTAAATTTTTGTATTGTTATATAGCGGTTCATTATATTCTTTATCTTGTTGTCATTCTTCCCTTTTTCCTATACGTATAACCCTTTTTGAAAATGTTAAAAAAAAGATGGCTGGACGATGCAATGAAAAATGACCACATAAGGTCAATAAATTACAAAGATTTTTCTGATATCAGTCCCGTAGCGCGAGGTGCGTTTGGTGAGGTTTTGAAGGCATACTGGAAAAATGGTGAAAAGGTTGTTGCTTTAAAAACGCTGCTTGATAACCCCTCTCAAGGAGCTGAAGAATCATTCGACAATTTTGTTCGCGAAGTATTTATATTTAATATTTGATTTGTTCCTTTCATCATTGTACATAAATTTGTAAGCTATATCTCATTCGTTTAATTATAAAAATATAGCTCAAATTTATTAGACATTTAGATTTCAGCGATCATGTTATTCGATTTTATGGCATTAGTTATAGTGAGTTCTTTTTTCACCCTTCCATAACGTTAAATATTTTTTGTTATATCTACTGAAATTTATTTTATATAAAAAGATCAAATGTCTTCTCGATATTTCATGGTCATGCAGTTTGCTGATGGTGGAAACCTTAGAGATTTCCTTCGTAGTAATTTTAAAAAACTTGACTGGATAACTAAAATTTCAATGGGAAAACACATTGCTAGCGGCCTTAACGCTATTCATTCAGCAAATATTTTGCATAGAGATTTAGTAAGAAATTTTTTTTTCGTTTTTCTATTTATAAATATATATAATTTTTTTAATTTTTCATTTTAATTATAGCATTCAAAAAATATAATGGTACATGATGGTAGACTTATGATTACTGATTTTGGATTATCAAAATCAAGTCTTGTTAGTTCAAATTCTGCTGTAGCAGGGATGGCTGCGTACGTGGAACCAAAATGTTTCAAAAGTCCAAAATACGTACGAGACAAAGCTTCAGATGTCTATAGCCTAGGAGTATTGCTCTGGGAAATATCTAGTGGTAAACCTCCTTTCAAAGATCTGAATGTAATAGAAATAGCTGGTAAAGTGGTTAAATTTGAAAGAGAAACCCCAGAGCCTGGTACACCATCTGAATATCAAAAGCTTTATGAAAAAGCTTGGAAACATGATCCACAAGAACGTCCGCATCTAGCTTATATTCGTGAAAAACTTGATAACATGTTACGTGCAATGGGTGTAGAACCCTCGCAACAATTTTGCCTGGATGCGCTTAAGAACATTGTAAATCAAAAACCTGTGAATGTAATTACTCGTTTAAATGCACCAAACAATTTCGGTATACCATCATTAAACCAAAATATGGCTGGAATGTCTATAAATGATCAAAATC